ACCGCACTGACATCTCAACCCTCGACCATGACTTACGTGCCTGCGGGATCGGAGATGGGAGGGTCTGAGGGGTGACGGGCACTGTCATTATGACGGAAATCGAGGCCGCTGCCCCCAATGCACGGGGCGCTTCTCCATCGCCTCCAACGGCCGCTGCTCTGGCCATGGCAGCGACTTTCCTTGTTGCTGTTTCATTCAAAGGGGGCGAAAAAAAGAGAGGGAGGAGGGTCGCGGAGACCACCATGAGCCACGCACGAAGCAACAGACTGCCAACATCAGTACCAGATGCAACGCTTAAGGCTCCCTTCGGACGACAAGACTGGGAAGACACAAGCAAGGGACAACGAACGCGCGGCTGCGTGGGCTCTCAGTAGGAAGGCAGACATGTGTTGATCAATCACGAATAGTCAGACCCACAGAGTGTGTGGACATCCATGCGTCTTCGTCATTGGGCCCGTGCCAGCGACGCGAGGGCCGTGCGCCTTGTCGTGCGCCATGCCGGCAGCATCCACAGTGGATCCCGGCGTCATCCACACCCCACAAAACCCAAAAAAACGACTTCAGACTCAAACACGAGGCACCCAGTAGGATCGATCTCTCTAACCAGTCTATACACCCCTGAGTGATGACTGATAATCGCGTCAAGGAGGAAAAAAAAGGCTGCACAAAAGCCTTGATACCCGGATAAACGACTCCGGCATGCACGCCTGCATTACCCTCCTTCCTTCGTACCGTTCTTCCTTGTTAGACCCTGCTTACTCGGCGGGCTCCTCCCACAGCCGCCTTTCCATACCACCCCGTCCCATTTCACACGCCTTATGCTCAGCCTTGCAGTGCAATGGCACCGATGCAACCTGGTTCAAAGAACACAGTAAGAGGAAAATTGAGAGCGGGTAGACCGGCCAAATAAGGGTGTCGAGTATAGACACCCCACTCGGACTGTGCGAAGGCGAAAAATCATCATACAAATGCCTCGATTGTTCCCCAGCCGGCCACGCATCGACCCGGCCCATGCCTCCTTAAGCTTGAGAGGCACCAGGACTGGCGCCATGCGCAAAACGCCCAGAGCGCCGTCCCGGCAGGCACACTCCAGAGGACATGGGCCGTCAAGTCGACGACAACCAAGGCGACCGTCGGACTCGTCATCTGAAAGTTTCTTAATCTTCTGATTTTTCCCTCCGCCTCACGCCAACACGCAGCAGTACGGTGCTTGCAGCCCCCACCCCCGCGGCGGAAATCGAACACGACATTGAAAGAAAGATGATGCAGGAATACAAGACGCGCGTTCTGCTCAGGCAGGAATCCCCTCAAACCTCCCACTTTCAAGCGGGAAGACAGGTCACGATCATACCGCCGCGATGATGCGACATCTAGCACAACATCAATCGCACTTACTCTAAGGGTTGCGACGACCTCTGAAAGAGGGGGGGGCGGTTTTGAGCGAGAAGCTGATAGGGAGGCGAATAGCATTTCCATCATCCTCGAGACAACTCTTGTCATATGCTCGCACTGCTTCAATTCGGGAAGCGGTGCTCAAGCATTGTCGACGGTGCTCTGTGCATGGCAAGAGGGAATGGACAGAAAGGTTGGTCCAAGATTCCTTCCAGAGGGGGCACGGGGGGTGCGGGACCCGTGTGTGTGCGGTGATTCAGGCAAACTGTGAAAAACTCAGGTTGTTCTCATGGACAAGGGGCTCTTGCCTCTGAAGGTGTCCTAAGGAGGTTAGGTCATCAGTACAACACACACACACACCCCACTGCCCGCTTTCATTCCAAGAGAGGCGCCTTTACTACACAGCCGTCACGCCAGCCAAAGGCGTTCTCCCTTTAATGCTTCTCTCTCTGACCACAGACTAGAGCTTGGTGATCCATTACATCATACGAATGACGCAAGAGGAGCCATTTCAGACGGAAAAGATCGCATACAACCTACCTTCACGTTTGGATGGATATGGAGGCCCCAACAAGTTTGCGGCTGACGCTTCCCCTGCGACACGAATCTGGAAATTTATAGGGCAAGTACAAATGGTATGCATTGTGAATAATACGGGAGGGAACCCTCAGGACAGTCCTTGCGTCTAGTGCAGGAGTGTGTGTGTAATTGGTATTGGCTTCATATTAACCCCGCATCTCTGGCTTGAGTGAGAGCAGGGCTCTTTCGGTTTCGAACCATGGTCGATCTTACGGGGAAAGAATCTAGTCTAATCATTACCATATCCACAGTTACGACAACACTCCGCGTCCTACGACTTGAGCTTTACATACATACACCAATGGGAAACTCGAGAGTCAGGGAAGAAGGCGAGGGTGAAGTATTCGACTGGCTTTTGTGCACGTACCTGTGAGCGCCGGAATACCAGCCTTCGCCCTTGCATGAATGTATTGAAAGTATCGCAGGGGTGATGGAATAATTGCAAAGCGGGTCGCCCGGAAGACGAAGATAGAGTAGGGGCATCTGAATAGATACCATTGCGGTGCTCCACTGCGGTGCTCCATTGACCATGACCCCGCGGATTACAACCCCTTGTCCCATTAAAGCAGCGAAATCCAAAGATACGCTTGAACAAATCCGCATGAAGCTGATGCCCGCCATGGTAAGGCATTTGATCCTTTTTTATTTGACCAAACGCGGCATGTATCCCGGGACGACGAAGCGGGAGCGCGGCCTCGCGTGCCATCCACCCTTCTCAACCTCCTCCCCCAGTACTCGCCCATCCCCCTGCCCCAGAATGTTTCATTTGCCCGCCCTAGGGGGTGTCGACGGAGTGTAAAGGATGGTTTTTTATGCTGGAAATTTCCTATTACATCATATGTAATGCTATGGACGAATCTACGTATTTTTTTTTTACGCATCTCATTAATATACGTGCATTTTTTGGGGGAAGCTCGAGGCCTCAACTGATCGGTGAACGTTCTCAAGGCTGAAAAAGCGCTATCAATCACATTCACGGTGAGTATATACAATTGTAACGGCTAGCAGCGAGCTCATTCAACATTTAGAAATTATTAAAGATTTTGTTATCCTCACCCATCAAGGTTTTTTAGCCCGCTGCGGCCAAGGTTGTGCGAGCTCGCGACTCGACACGGAGGAATATTGAAATCCGATGACTTATAAGAGGCCAACCATTAATATAACTATTTGTAGAAAGAGAAAACGACATCATGCCCCATCTTTCGCGCTTAGAGACGCTTTTTGGCTCGTGTGGGCTTCGCTCGTCGTCCTCGTCGCCCCCCCCCCCGCGCGTGCAAGCCTCCTTCCCCGCTCCTCCACCGAA